CGACACGTAGTGCAGTATCATAATCGAGTCTAGGGGTCAGGTGTAACATTCCAGTTTTGCCTATCTATCTCCAAGGTCCAGGGCAATACTGGAATTCTGGTCCGGTTCAGGGTTTCAAGAAAACCCACACTGCATGTACCTCAGGTCTCACCTTGGCAGCTGAGACTAGCCACCCCAACCAACTTGGCGGTACATCAGTGTCAGCCTTGGTAGGATAAATCTCCCTAGATCTATCCAACGGCTATGAAGATTCAAAACTAACATGAATCTCATATGTGTCCAGTTTAAGGGTGTTACACAGAAACACACCATAATAACATGAATCAAATATGTACTTTATTCATTTACATTAAATGTCATAAGGTACATCATTCTGATTGTAGCTAAGGGCATACATTAACAGCTCCCACTTTTACTTAGGTCCAATCTGGTATAAGCTGGAGTCCCATGCTTTTTTACATGGTGATCTTCTTGAGGAGGTGTACATGGAGCAACCACCAGGGTTTGTTGCTCAGGGGGAGGGTGAGAAGGTCTGTAGACTTAAGAAAGCTATTTATGGACTTAAGCAATCTCCTCGTGCATGGTTTGGGAGATTTAGTGAAGTGGTGAATAAGTTTCGAATGAAACAATGTCAGGTTGACCATTCCTTATTCAGCTATGAATCAAATGCTGGGAAGATTCTCTTGGTGATATATGTAGATGACATTGTTATCACAGGCAGTGACAGACTAGGAATTGACAAGTTGATGACTTACTTGCATGATCCCTTCTAGACAAAGGATCTCGGCAAATTAAGATATTTCCTAGGGATAGAGGTTGCAAGGTCCAAGAATGGTATTAATCTGTGCCAGAGGAAATATGTTCTTAATTTGCTAGAAGAAACAGGGTTGTTGGGTGCCAGACCAGCTGAAACACCTATGGAACTGAATGTTAGATTGGGTAGTGATACAGGTGAGGAGTTTGAAGATCTGGGAAGGTAGATGGCTGGTGGGTAAGCTTAATTACCTAACCATCACTCGACCTGATATCTTATTTGCGGTCAGTGTAGTGAGTCAATTTATGCAGAATCCTAGAATCCCACACTGGGAGGCAGTCCTAAGGATTGTGAGGTATTTGAAGGGTGCTCCAGGGCGTGGTTTGTTGTATAAGAGTGGAGGAAGTCTTGAGATAGAGGATACACGGATGCTGATTGGGCGGGGTCCATATCTGACAGAAGGTCCACTATAGGGTATTGCACTTTTCTTGGTGGGAACTTAGTGACATGGAAGAGTAAGAAGCAGACAGTGGTAGCAAGAAGCAGTGTAGAGGCTGAATATAGGGCTATGGCTCATACGACATGCGAACTGGTGTGGTTGAAGCATCTACTAGAGGAGATGGGATACTCGATTGACACTCCTATGAAGCTATACTGTGATAACAAAGCTGCAGTTCATATCTCCTCTAATCCAATGTTTCACGAAAGGACGAAGCACATAGAAGTGGATTGCCACTTTGTACGTGAGAAGGTGTTTAGTGGAGTGATAAGTACAACATATGTGAAGACAGGAAATCAATGGGCAGATCTATTTACCAAAGGGTTGAATTGGGGAAGAGTGGACTACATATGTAACAAGCTGGGACTATATGACATATACTCACCAGCTTGAGGGGGAGTGTTAGAGTCGGCTGTACAAGGGTAGTACAGTCCTTTTATATTTAGTTATATATGTACTGCTCAACTGATGCGGCTCTCACTTAAGTGAGGGCACAATTGTAATCTTTGTATATCTTAGAAGATTATAAATAAAAGAAGGGCCGACTAGAGGGTTTTTGATTTTTTCTCTCTAGTTGGGCTGTGACTTTTCTCCTTCTTTTTCTTCTCTTTCTTCTTCTCCTTCTCTCTCTCTCTTTTCCTTCTCTTTCTTCTGGTCTGAACATATACGAACATCTAATCTGAGTGTTATCACAAGGGAAGAGGTAGAAAGGTATGGCAAAATTTTGGAGTTTTTAGTGACTTAATGGCCAATGATATAGCTCTGCTTGGAAGAATCATCTTGATAAACTCAGCTCTAGCTAACCTGCTCCATGTATTATCTCTCAGTCTTTAAAATTCCTATACTAGTGGCAGAAGACTGTAAAAAAATGGTTATGGGAACCAGTGGCGATAACACATCTACAATTTGCAGATGATATTATTTTGTATTGCAAATGGGATTCGAAGGAGCTGGTTAACTCAAAGTGATTGGTGACCCTTTTTCAAAGGGTTTCTATTCTCATAGTAAACTGAGGCAAGAGCTCTATAGTGGGAGTGAATAGGTTTGGAGAAGAGGTGGAAAGCTTTGTTAGGTTGTTGGGTTGTGATGTTGGGGAGTGGCCATTAAATTACTTGGGATTACCATTGGGGGGGGTGGAACCCATGCTTTGAGAGCTTTTGGTACCTGGTCTTGGAAGATTCACAAAGAGGCTTTCATTATACCTCACTAGGGGGTAGAATTACTTAATCAACACTGGCTAATTTGTCTGTCTATTTCCTTTCTACTTTCCTATGGAACCGGTGAAAAAAGGAAAGATCATTTAGTGAAATGGGATTGGGAAGTGGTTTATAGAAGCAAGGATGAAGGGGGCCTAGGTATAAGAAATATTAGACTAAGGAATGCAGCCTTATTGGGGAAGTGGTTGTGCAGATTTCCTATAGAGCAGGATAGGCTGTGGCACAAAGTGATTGTAAGTGTTCATGGTATGGCAGAAAATGGGTTGACCCTATGGCATCTCAGTCTTGTTCTTGGAAATCTATCCATGGCATTTTGCTTTCTCTTCTTCCATATTTCAGATTTGTTGCTTGTGTAGGTAATAAAATGTTATTTTGGGAAGATGTTTGGTCTGGGGATATTTCTCTCAAAGATAGATTCCTATCTATATATTCTTTCTTTGAATAAGGGAAAAGTAATTTCTTCTGTCCATGGTAGTGGAAATTCTTAGGATTTTGGGACTGAGGACAGGGTTAAGGAAAACTGAATTGGATGGCTGATGAACTTATTTCACTTCTTAATACAGTATTTTTGGATCAGTCTTGCTTGGACAGAAGAATTTAGTTGGCTTTCCCTTCTGGTTACTTCACATGTTCCCCTTCAAGGTTTAAGCCTTTTAAAATCATTCACATAACTGCTAATGGGATGGTTGACCACCCCTATTGTTTGTATTGCCAATGTTTGATTTCCTCTTCTCTCTGAATCTTTGCCTTTGTCTTCTCTGTCCTCCATCTCTCTTGTGTTTCCTTTTTTCTCTGCTGGTTGTTTGAGCCTGGTGATGACCCAACACCCAAACCTGTTCCTCTTTTTAGTTTTGGTCCTCCTATAAGTAGGGCTGTCAATGGCACAGGTCCAGTTAGAACCAGAACTGATCCAACAAGAAATACTAAGGACCTGGAACCGAACCAGAACCACTAGGGTCTGTAATTTTTAGACCCAGAACTGAACTGATCGGTTTTTGGGAAATTTGGGTCTGACCTGATAATAATTGGGACAATATATTAGGACCTGGAACCAACCCCAATCGGGCGGGTCCTTTTGGTCGGACCTGACCCATTGACAGTCCTACCTATATGTTCAATTCTATCTAACAATATGTTTATTTAAAAGTTTTTGTGGTTTTTTCTGCCAAAAAGTTTATAGGGAGTTCTACCAAATAAGGCCTGTTTTTATACTAGTTTAATAGTAATAATAAAATTGCAAATGATAATGGCATTTGGGTTCCTATATTTGTTGGTCAATAAGTTATTATCTGTTGGGGTGAATCCTTGATCATTATTTAAGCCAATTCTACTGAAGGACTTTGTACTGCTAGGACACTCTTTTGATACTATTACTCAATAACATTTTCTCAACTGTCTAGAGTTTCCAATATTATCCCTATTTGGTTCCTTGGTTCGCATCTATTAAGTGTTCAGTTCCTTGCAATTTATTGTTTAACACTATTTGATGTCTGAGATAGACAAAGTACACTTTTGATTATTTGAATTCCATGATGCCAGAATGTATATTTATCTTCCATAATACTAGAAATAATATAATGTGGATGCATTGAATGCTATAGAAAGTACATATAAAATAGCAATGAAAAATTTTAAAGGCTTATTGATAAAAAAATAAATAAATAAAGCCTCAGTCAAGTTGGAAAAAAGTATTACAAGATATCTTATTGCTTGCATTGGCTTCAATTGTTCTGTAATTTTTAAAATGTAACTGTTTTATGGTGGAATTTTTCTGCTATAATGATCACTTATTATTGGATCGATCTTTACATAAACTGCTGACTGAGCATATGCATGATGCATTTTTTTTCTATCCAGATAATTGAACGTGGTCTGATGACTCAGGCTGAGTATGATGAAGCAAGTAGAAAAGCATTAAGTTTATTTGAATATGGGCAGGTGATTAACCTTAACTCTTCTTTCTAATTTTGTTGTGCATTTTTGCTCATTGCTGTTTTCGATGTGATGTTTCACTAGTAGGTAGCCTGTGTTAAAGAATATCCATGTAAAATAGAACTAGATTCAAGTTAAAGAAATATGAAGTTGTTTTGTTTTGATAGGTAACTGGCGTGTTTTGTTGCTTGTTAAAAAATCAAATATGTGCGAAGTACCATGCTTTGCAAGGTATAGGCTGGATGTACACCAACATTCCCTTTTCTTAGATTAATATTGCATTTTATCCCAAAAAGGTTGCTGCCTAATTGCCCCTAATTTTGCCAAAGCATCGACTATTCCATTTGCCAACATTTGAACCCACTGAAATGTTACCTCCATTCTTCTCATCCACCACCTATTTGTCATTGGTTAGTATTGCCACATCGCCTCACTGTTGCTGTTATGCCTACTGACGACCACTTTGGAATCCCCTTCTACCACTATTTTATCGATAATCATTGATTGTTTTAGCTTCAGACCTAGTAAGACAGCTATTGTTTCTGCTCTTAAAGAGTTACCTCCTCCAATTGGTCCTGTGAACAGTGCTAGGATTCTGCCATTACTGTCCCTAAAAAACCCCACCTACTCTAGGACCTGGGTTACTAATGTTTCTTCCATCAAAGTTGTGTTTTATGTGTTCATTACACTACTTGGTGGTTGCTATTCTACGAGCATCCTATTGGTAGATGAGCTGGCTGCCAATCTCCATCCTCTTAAGACATCATCTACCAAGAATAGGGTGAAGATATCCATGGTCTTAATCCAATATTTCACTCTCACCTTAGTGACCTATAATTGCTTCCTTGGAGTGACTCTTCCCTTTAAAATTTCTTGCATTCCTTTCTTCCCACATTGTCCAAATGGCTATTGCCCTGGTGCATCCCGACATGATTCTTCCTCTTGGCAAAGTGAAGGTGTTCATGCTAAATAAACTAGCTAGATCTGATGGCGGGGTCCACCTAGAACCAAAAGAGTGTATACCTTGTATCCAAACTAACTTGCCAGGCATTTCCCACTATGCCATGAATGGTTCTGATTATTACATACCATTATTTGTTTGTAACCAAGGGGAACTGCGACAACTATTTCTCCAATGGTGATGCATTCCTATCCATCAATCTATCAAAACCCAGCCCCTTATCCTCCTTAATCTTACTATTTTTCAATTGACAAGGTGGTCTCTTTGCTATCAATGTTGGGGCTTTAAAAACTGAGAGGTAATACATGGGAAGTTTTGCAAAGGTGGGCTTGATAAGAGTAATTAACCTTCTCAAAGAAATTTAGTACCTTTCCCAGGTGGCCAATTTTTTGGGGAATTTAACCAAGACTGGATTCCATAAATTACTTGACTTGGGATTACCAGCTGAAGGTAAACCAAGATGTACCAAAGGCCAGTCTGCCATTGGGCAGCCCAAACAATGAGCATAAGAGTCATTCATGTCATTCTTTTATTCTTAATTCAGAAAGGATACTTTTGGGTTATCAGGCTATGTTTGGTTTGATAGAAAATAAGAGAGAAACAGAAAGTTGAAGGAAACTTCTTAAAGAATTTTGTGAAATTCCTTAAGAACTTTGCCTCAACCTTTTGTTACTCTTTCATCTTCTAAATAACCAAGTATAGCCTTAACCTTTAGATTTTGTGAAAAGAGAAATCATGCTATTAGAAGGTAAGATAAACTGATAAGAACCAATACTACACTTGATCTTAGCCAAAAGGACAAGAAAGGTATTAAACCAAATGCTTACATTTGAATCTTTTATCCAATGTGTCTGTTCAGAATTTAGATCTGTGGAGGGATGGAATCATGTTAAGAAAACGTTGGTCTCTCTATACCTGGTTTGGATATTAAGAGAAGCCTCTTGGCATAACTATTGAAGGAAGAAAAATACATGTAACTCATGATAAGGTAATTCCTTTCTTTTATTACATGAGAGTACAATTAATAGAAGTCCTAGAAACAAATTTTAAAGTCAGCTTATACTATGTTTTTCTTTTTTTGATCAATAACTAAAGATTCATTAAAATAGAATAACATTAAAAAGGAGAGGAGCTAAGGTTTCTTAACTCCCCAAGACAGTCAAACATACACCCAAAAACAAAAAGACACTTACAACTGAGCCCAAAACACAGAACTCCTATTCACCCCTTGCCTCGCTAAGCCATCTGCAAATGAATTTGCACTTCTCTTTACCCATTTGCACCGAACTTCCATGTCCCTGGTAAACCATTTAAATTTCCTCTTCTCATTGCTGTAGTTCCAAAGCCTAGAGGTGTCTTCATTTAACCAATTCACTAGTCTCAGAGTCTCCTTCTATGATCAGTTTATTGACATTCAGATCCTTAGCCCTTTGTACCCCTTCCAGAGCTGCTAGTATTTCTGCCCTCAAGGAGTTTCCCACTCCAATTGGGCCAGAGTACAAAGCTATTATAAACCATTTTTTCATCCCTTAGTACTCCTCCAATTCCAGAGGGCCCTGGATTGCCCATACTGCTGCCATCAAAGTTCAGTTTGATAAAACAGAGAAGTGGAGGGTTCCAATGGGAATTTGAGACCATCCTAATTGAAGCTGAATTTGCAATTTCCTTCCACTTTCTTAGCAAACCATCCACTGAGAAATCTGCAAATATATCCAGAGTTTTCAGCCATTGAATTACCCTTATGTGAATCACCTGTAGAACTGCTTTCCTGCTTCTTTCCTTTTTTGAGAAAATCCTTGAGTTTCTTTCCTTCCAAATAGTCCAACATATGGCTGCCCTAACACATCTCCACATAATTCTCGTCCTTTTTGTTGGCCAGTCGGAGGGAAGGGAAGTAAACAAGCTTTGCACATTCATTGGAGGATCCCACCTGCACCCAAACAAAGAAGCAAACCAGTCTCAAATATATTTTGCAAATTGATAGGAGATTAGTAAGTGAACACTAGACTCATCATCGGCTCTATAGAGAACACACCAGTGAGGAGACAAACATCTATTAGGCTTCTTTCTTTGAAGCAAATCACCTGTGTTTATTCTTTCCAGAAAGGCTTCCCAACAGAAACTCCCAACCTTTGGAGGAATAGGTTCACACCACACCTCTTTGACAGGGAAAGACAAACCAAAAGGAACAGTTGGTTGTGCTAGGGCTTTAAAAAAGGAAGAAATAGTAAAGGAACATATTTATAGAAAAGTTGGTCAGCTTATACTAAGTTACTAACTACTTATAGAAAAGCATCTACCCTTCATTTTAAAAGAAATTTCCTCTTGATATTTGTATCTTGTGGTATCTCTTCTGGAATATATTTTCTTTTTTATCTATCATCAAAAAAGGAAAAACACAGCAGCTCAATGAGATATTCGAATTTCCATTCATCTAAAAGCTTGGTGGTGGCTCTTCAAGGTCAGTTTGCAAAATAACATTCATGAGACGAACTCTAATACAAGAATACTTAGGATCCCAATTTCTGTTCAGAAAAGAAAACACTTTTTTAAATCCATTAGAAGATTATAGGAAAAGAAAGGGTTGTAGTGATGACCTTTTCTTCCTAACCATTCACTTGGTTTCATTGAGTTTGGTGTTTGGTTTTGCAGGGGAGTGGTATGACTTGAGAGTGGTGGTCAAAGGCTGCATACCGCTTTGATGGTTTGAGGAGGAGATAGTGGTTGTGCCGAATCACTGTCGGGACTATGTCCATCGTGAAGAGGAGAAGGGGGAACTGCAGATGCAGGTCTCCAGGAGTTAGGAGGAAGAAGGTTGGAGATGAAAAGTCGGGGAGTTGGAGAGCCATAGAGAGGAAAAAGAGAGATTTTAGAGAGGTGGGAGGGCAAAAAAGGAATTTTGGGGGGAGAAGAATAGACACTTGGTAGAAGGTCTTAATACAAAGACTGGTCCCGATAAGGCTATTTGCTCCTTTTCGAGTATGAATGTGGAGAAAAATGGATGTGGGGTCCACGTGGTTAGCAGGGATTTTCTATTGACTAAGAGCAATGTTAGAGCGACATCAAAGGGATATGAGTTTAAAGGTAAGGTTTTAGAAAAAAATCAAGATGGATTTGATTGGGTCCTTACCAATGTTTATGGACCAAGTTCTTATTAGAGAAAGGAATGTGACGTGGGAAGAATTAGCAGATATTAGAGGCTTATGGGGTGGCCCTTGGTGTTTAGGAGGTGACTTTAATGTGATCAGATTTGTAGGTGAATCAAGTGGGGGAAGACAGAGGGTCACTTCAAGTATGAGGAAATTTAACAATTTTATTGGGGCCTTTTGAGTTAAGAGATATCCCACTAGGGCAGTCTTGTTTTACTTGGTCCAATCTCCAGGTTAATCCTATTTGTTCTAGACTGTATAGATTTCTTTTGTCTCTTGACTGCAAAGAACATTGGGTTAGTCTCTATCCAGAATCACATCAGATCATTGGCCAATTTGTTTGTTTCAGAGGTCTAGTGAGGGGGGGGGGCATTCCTTTTAGGTTTGAGAACATGTGGCTCACCCACCCAGACTTTAAGAAAATGGTTAAGGAGTGGTGGGTTTCCCAATGTTCACAACCTATTTGGGAAGGACAAAAGTTTTTGAGGAAATTACAAAGGCTGAAAGGGGAGATTAAAGAGTGGAGTTTGGGAGATTGGAAGAAAAAAGGGTAGCTTGTTTGCTCAAATTGAGGTGTTTGATAGGAAAGAAGTGCAAGGTGTTTTAGAAGGGTATGAAAGAGAAAGAAGATGGTCTCTAAAGGAGTTAGAGGATCTTTTGTTGAGAGAGGAGATCGGTTGGATGCAAAAGTCAAGAAATGGATTAAGGAGGGCAATGACAACAGAAAGTTATTCCATGCTTTAGCAAATGGCAAGAAAAGGAAGAGCTATATTTCCTCTTTAATAGTGGAAGGGGCTGAGATCCCAAATCAAGAGGAAATAGTTGAAGCCTTTGCAGATCATTTTAGATCAATTTTTTTGTAGACCAATTTCTAAGAGGTGGAATTTGGATGGATT